TCTCCTTTTTTGGGGGAAGGGTCGCCTTTGCCATTTTCTTGCGGTCCTTTGCCGCCTCCCGTTTCGTTAATTTCCTCATGGTTTTATGGGTCCCAGCGACTCCGACAAGCCTCTAGATCCTAAGTGCTTGTGCCTACGCCTTCGATTCTTCCATCCTCCTTGCCTCCGGTTTTCTCTGTCGTGCACAAACTGGCCATATACAGCCTCTCGAGTGACGGGATGTTATTCGGGACTCACTAGTCCCGACACATTTCCCCCACTCATTCACGATGTCCTCATCGCGCACCAGTCCATAGTCAGTAGGGGTTTCGGAGCGGTGGACAGGGGGGAAGAAGGGGTGGGGTGAGACGGGAAGTCAGCTTGCCAGGGTTCTTTTTCTCCTTTTCATTCTCTTCTCAAGGTTTTCTTTAGTTTTCCATCCCTTGAGGTGGAGGAGGGTATGGGGGGTCCAAGGGTCTTCTTCGGGCTTCTCTCTTTTCATTCCATGCCAGCCAGGTTCATTTTTTGTTACCATCATTCTTAATACTCCTTTCTCCGTTTGGGTCCTTCGACCCGTGCAATCCATGTTTTTTACGCTGCTTTCCTTCGGGTCTTTCGGCCCGTGCAATCCATGTTTTCGATACAGCTCTCTTTCGGATCTTTCGGCCCGTGCAATCGATGTTTTCAATACAGTTTTCCTTCGGGTCTTTCGGCCCGTGCAATCCATGTTTTCAATACAGCTATCCTTTGGGTCTTTCGGCTCGTGCAATCCATGTTTTCACGTCACCCTTCTCCGAACCTCAGGCTTTGCCAAACCCACATGCATTTCCCCCGGGTCATTTTACCCGGCCTTTCTCGGGTCCTGCCAATTTCGCATGCATATCACCCTTTATCCTTTCTTGCCCTTTTGCTTAATTAACTTTTCATGCGCAATGCTCAGTTCATCCCTTATACATCTATTTTCTAAGCACCTTGTCAGACCTTTCTTTTCAAGCCCATGCAAGCCAATTACTCATCCATTTTCCAGCCCGCTAGTCCTTTTCTCGGGTCCATGCAAAGTTACTCATACAAGTCTTGCCAGACTCTTTTTCTTAAGCTCATACCAAGTCACTTGCTCAAGTCTTTTCTGCTTTGGTCCTCTTGTCAGGCCCCTTTCATAGGCCCATGCAAAGCCAATTACACAAGTCCTTTCTGTTTTGGCCATCTTGCCAGGCCCCCTTTTCTCAGGCCCATGCGAAGCCAATTGTACAAGTTTTTTCCATGCGTTTTTCATTGGTAGATAGCACACCTTCCCCCCACTCAAAACGCGATGACCCCATCGCGCGACTGGTTCTCACTCGGAGGTACGCAGACCTTTGGCCCGCCGACCGCAGTCAAGGACACAAGCCCATCCGCTTCACAAAAGAAAGAGTGATCAATTCCTCCCCAGCGGGTGGCGCCTCATCCTCCTACTCGATCCAACCTTTTTCTATTACATGGCGAACACCAATACTGAGGTTCCTCCTCATATCTGGCAGGTAGGTCCAGGTCAAACCTCCCAGGGTCTCGTCTAGCCGTAAGAGCTTTCCTCGCGAATCATTCCTCCCGAGTGGTAGTTTTCTGGATCCGGCCTCTTCCTTTCATGAGAGTTGGGGCCCTCTATTTGTTCGCGAGTACAGTTACGAAGACCTCGCAATTAGTCCCGAAACGGTTGTAATGTTTAAGCAGGGCAGTGTCAGTGTCCCGTGGTGGTGGCGGCCTCCACCCGGTACCTCGCCCTTCCCTCCCCTTGGACAGTGCTTCCCAACTTAGTGCGGGCAACCGAGGTCCGACCCAAACGGCCATGCCACCCCTCTATGGTATGACGTGTGGTTGGAGAGTAGCAAAATAGACTAGAATAAGAATGATTATCTCGCCCATTTCGTTCTCTCACCCTTTGACGTTTTAGGCTCTCAACACGAAGCGCAATTTGAACTTCCCGACTAGAGCTTATTGTCGGGGTCAGCTCCGGACGTCCCGCACCGATCCAAGTGGTAGGTGCCTTACTCCTTTAACCCGCATGCCCTTATAAGAGGAACAGGTCGCGCTGAGACTTTTCCCTTTAAGGGATAGAGGTTTTGAGGTGGCGGTGCAAACACCGGTATCCCCCTCTTGCTGAGGCCAAGGACTAGAAGAAAGAGAAAATTCATTTCAATGTTATTTCCAAGCCCATTTCAAGTTGCCTAGGGTCCCCTGTTTATGCAATGCAATTTCCAATGCTCATCCAGTTCCGATGTTCAATCCAATTGCAAGGCTCATTCCAATTTCAAGGCTCAATCCAATTTCCAAGGCTCAATCCAATTCCAAGGCGCAATCCAATTTCAAGGCGCAATCCAATTCCAAGGCTCACTCCAATTCCAAGGCTCAATCCAATTCCAAAGCTCAATCCAATATCTTTTCCAAGGTTGAATCCAATATGTTTTCCAAGGCTGAGTCCAATATCTTTTTCCAAGGTTGAGTATAATATCTTTTCCAAAGCTCGACTCTTCTCAATCTCACCCATCTCAAGCAACCATGCAAGGGGACCCCAGTGCCAATTCCAAAGAATGATCCTTGTCAGGGGCCATTCCGAACAATTTGGTTAGGGTCGTTCCTATCTATTTCCTTCGAACAACCTGGTTAGGGTCATCCTTATCCATTTCAATCGGACAGCTTGGTTAGTTCTGTCAGTCCCAGGTACCAATCCTTCCCATTATCTAGCTATTCTCTGTTGTGTCTACTGCTCTTTTACCGCCCTGTTGCCCTGCGCTGAGCTTCCCTTGCACGATCATAGATTTCCTGCTGCATCAATCTTTTCGTCCTTTGCAACTGAAGGAGCGCCTCTTCTGTGAAGAAGGTCGTAGGTGCTATGTCTTCTCCTCTGCTCAACTTTTCCTTCCCTTTCATCGCCCACTCATACCGCATAATACTGGCCCATTGATCGAACCAGTCACTGCAAGATGGTCTGAACTCTCGTATCCATTTGTCCTTCTCCTCACCTGTGTCCTCCTCCCTTGCCCGAACTTTCTTTGTGGGTGTTGTGACTTCATCTTCTTCTTCCTCACAGCTGAGGTCTACGATTTCGTTGGGCTCTTCCTCATCTACCCTCTGCCTCTTCCCTGGGCTTCTATCTCCATCTTCACTGTCATCGCTATCCGATGGAAGGACTATTGGTTCTCCCTCTCGCAGGGGTGAGGGTCCCCTGGTCCCTTGTTTCCTTCCCCCTCTGCCCACAACCAAGTTGAAATCAAAACCCTCATACAATTTCCTCTTTCTGGTACTTGATTCCCCTTCCTGCCTCGCCCCTTGTCCCTCATTAGGCCTGTTGATGGCGTTGCTGTCGTTTCCGTTTCCAAATTTTATCTTTGTCTTTCTGGCCGTTCTCTTCTCCCCTGGTCCCTCTCATACATAACGAAACCACAGCAACCCCATACATAGAAATCCCCCCTTATCCCCCTTGCGAATTTGACTAGAACCCTTGCTTGCTCCCGTATGATTGGTAGTTCTCCCAAGGTGGCGGCATATGCGGCAGTCCCATTACCCCCCCCCTAAAATTTGGGCACATTTTCCCAGTCACATAGGCATCCCATATAGGCAGTTCCCAATAATTGCCCCACAAAAACTATGGTACATTGTCCCAGGCTCCCAACCCCATTCATATTCGGCCCAAGCAGTCACCCCATGCCCCAAGGGAAAGAAGACACAAAACGAACAATTCCCTGCAATCATGACTACTTCCGCAGGGCGGTGGTACTAAAACGCATGGCCAGCTGCCTGCCTTTCAAGTTGTCAATTCCCCTGTTTCCTTATCCTGAGCCTCCTGTAACCATTGCTCCACCGGATCTCTGCTAAAAAACCTGACCAGCCTCTGCCCCGGAAATGACCCTTTCATCCCAGTACCATTGAGATCCTCAAGTTCAAACGTGTTCAATCCCACCCTCTTAGCGATTTTGTAGGGACCTTTAAACCTTCTTCCCAGCTGTCCGGACCACGTGCTTTCAAGAGTCGAGTTCCTAACTAGTACCTTCTCTCCCACCTGGAGCGGCTCCTTCCGAATGTTCTTTACCTGGCCCCACCTTGCTTTGTCCCTCATTCGACTATCCATTACACGTTTAACCACATCCTCAAAGGCTTCCTCATTTCTAGCGACCTGTTGGCAAAGTGCGGGAATTAGTTCCTCTGTAGACATATGTGGATTGTCATCTATCCTGTTCCAAGTAGGAACCAGGGCTTCCATTGGGAAATCAATCTCCCTCCCATACCAGAGTTCTGTCGGAATGCATCCCGTCGTCCTTTTCGGCGTCATGTTCTCTGAGCAGACCGTCTGCTTAAGGTACCGACGCCATTTCCCCAGGTCATCGGCCGCCAACTTAGCGATTGTGTTTTTCAAGGTTCGGTGCCCCCTTTCTACTGGTGCATTGGCCTCCGGGTGATACGGTTCGATGATCTTGATAGGTACGCACAACGGCTTAAGCCTGCCCAACACCTCCTGGTTGACGAACTCCGTCCCATTGTCCGCTATGAACCTGCGCCCAAAGGGGTGCCTAAGGTAGAAGTCTTCTATCTAATCGGCCACTCCCTTTCTCGTCTTTCTCTTAAGAGCTACCGCCTCTACGTAGCCACTGAGGTTATCTCTTGCATCCAAGATGTACCTGTATCCATCCGTCTATACAGGCATGACCGCCAGATCGAGGTGGACCAGGTGCCCTGGTTCTAGTACCCGGGTAGGTCTAAGGGGTTCGAAGACGCGCGCGAAGTTCCTTTCTTGGCATACCAGACACGTTTGACAGTACGTAGACACCATACCTGCCATACCTGGCCAAAAGTAAAGTGGCGCGATTTTTGCAAGAGTCCCTTTGGACGACCGGTGCCCTCCGGCTAGCCCATCATGCATCGCCTGGATTATGTCCAGCTGCCTAGACCTTCCGCACACAACATGCCTAGGCATCATCCCTAACTCTTCCTTGAACAGGTGACCGTTCCTCAAAACATACTTTTCGACTTCCTCCCTTGCCTTGAGGCTAACTTCCATAGGTTGTTTGTTTCCTATAAGCAGCATGCCGATTTCCCTAAAGATGTCATCATACATCTGTATAAGGAAAAATTATCGCCCGTTCTGATCAGTGTCTTGCTCCTCCTGAGCCTGATTCACTAGATACTGTCGCTCCCTTTGCGTCCAAGTTTCTACTGGACTCATCACAGCATCCCGACCCCCTTCAACGACCATTGCCATCAGCTCCTCTTTCGGTCCGATCGTTGCTCCCCACGAATCCTTCTCATCCTTGCGTATAATCGTGGTGACTGGCCCTTCCCAGAGTTCCGCAACTATGGCGGGCGCGCCCTTTTCCAGGGTCTGAATCAACAGTTGATCCATTGTAGGAGCGACGCCTGCCATCTCGTTGTCTATGACAAGGGTCCCCCCTTCGTACTCCAGGAAGCCGTCAATTGGCTCCGCATCCTGTACTCCCTCCGGCGTGATGCAAACCCGACGTAGCCCATCTGCCCTGTTTCGGAGTCCCGCAATTCGCTCGACCTTGTAGTCGAATTGCCATATAAAGCCTATCCATCTCCCAACGGTCGGGTCTATAGGCTTGTAGTTCCTCAATGCCCCAATGACGTTTGTCGGATCGAATCTCAGAATAAACCTTCTTCCGAATAGGTAATGCCTGAAAGGTCTTAAGGTAATGCAAGATGGCTAAGACCTCTTTCTTGAACTGTGAATATCATCGTTCTGCCGAATTCAAGGTCCTACTCTCAAATGTGATGGGTCTTTCCTTGCCCTCCTCGCTTCTCTGTATCAGGACGCCTCCTACTGCCAATGGTCCTCCGTCTGTTTCCAAGATAAAGGGTCGTCCTACTTCATCATTGAAGCAGGGCGCTGCCAAGGTAACTTGGTCGGAAGACAAGACGTCTTTGAGGGTCTGGATTGCCGCCTCCCTATCCTCAGTCCACTCCATGGTCCCTCCTTCCCTAATCATTGCGCGGATAGATTTAGCTATCTTGGCAAAGCCCTTGATAAAAAATCTTCAGAATCCGACCACCCCTAGGAAGGCTCGTACTTCCGTCGTGGTGCGCAGTGGTGTTGGCCATTGAGAGATCTTATCCGTTTTTGCCGGGTCAGGTTTCCTTCCATAGGCCCCATAGCGAAATCCCAGTATGGTCACTTCTGGGACCGCCAGGATGCTCTTAGGTCCGCTTGCGGTAATATTATATACCAAGAACCGCTTAAGTAGGTTCTTGATGTCCTGTAGGTGATCCCAAATGAACTTTCGTATGCCCGGCTGGACCTCTGTCTCATCCTTGTTCAGCGCGCCTTTTATGGGATTATCGTCTATGTAGGGCTCACATTTTTTCGGAAACATGTCCCCTGCGACCGCAAGCATCCTCCTCTGTGCCTCTGCCACAGCGTTTGTAAAGCCCATAGGGGTCACTTGCATCTGCAGCTGCCCTACCGGGGTGTGCATGGCAGTGTGTGGTCTGTCCCTAGCGTCGAATGACTGTTGATCATATCTCGAGTATAAATCTATCAAGGAGTAAATGTTACGGCCGGCGTGAGATTCGACCAGCAGATCTGCCTGTGGAAGCGATCCCACATCTCGGATAGTAACCGAATTTAGCTTCTGCAAGTCCTGGATTAATCTGAGCGTTTTGTTGGGCTTTCGAAAAACGAACCACTGGTTCGCATAAGGGGATGCGGTGGGTTCGGCCACGAACGAATCTATTTTGGCCCTGAGCAACTCAATGACTTCCGCTGCTATTTCGAACTCGTAGGCAGACCCTTTGTCGTTCCAGCATTCATGTTCCACTATGTGGATCCTAACGGGGGAAATTAACTTTGCGTCTAATCGGCCTTTCTGGTGGTCATTGAAGGCAAAGGCTAAATGGAACTCCTGACACGCTTTTCTTATCAGTTGAGTTTCTTCCGCTGTTAGGAACCCTTCTACCCCTATCTTCATGGTATCCGTTATCTCATCAGGTATTCGGTGCCCTTCCGCTGCTCGCCTCTCCCTTATTATCCGCAGGATTTCTTCCTCCTTTTCCATGGCCTCTTCCCTTGATGTTTCCACTAGGATCGAGACCGGTTTGGTTTTCTTCCCTACGGGTTTGTACTTTCGCAGACTCCCTTCTGGGATCGTTCTCCTAAAAAATGAACGGTCGGGATCGACCTTGTTACCTCCAGGACGCGGGGCTGGATACTGACTAGCTTCCCGTTCAGACAGCAGCCCTTTCGGACCCCATCTTCGAATTTGGCAAGCGCTGCGGGGTCCACCCCCACCTTGTGGTACTTGATGGCCTTAACAAGTTGTAATAAGTCTGGGATTTCAAGCACCACCTCCGGCGTTTCCTTCCGGCCTTCCTTTGGTTTGGGCAGGTTGGCCCCAAGTTCGACTTCCGACTCTTTTTCTGCCACCATAACTTCCAGGACCTCGTCCTCTTGCCTTCTCTTCTTCAGAGGTAAACCCATCTTGATCCACTCCTTCTTGCTAAAGGCTTCCTCAATCATGATCTCTACTCTTTCCCTCATACCTTTCATTCGTGCAAATGCCCCCTTTCACGCACTCTCTTCGAACGTTGGCGACCAGGTTGCCAATTTGCCCTTCGGGGGATCCCCTCCTGTCCCAAGGAGTTGGAGGAGTTCTCCACGACCGGTCACGGGGTCTTCTATATCCACCATGTATATGCCATCATGTAGATGCATACCTATCATCTCTACATTGGCGCACCATGGCCTCCCGATAATTATGTCATGGTCCATTTCTTCCATCAAGGTCATCCGCTGGAAGGACCAAATTGATTCCCTGATCCCTGCCCTGACTGCGCATTTCGTGATGTACCCTGCAAAGGGAATCTCCCCGCCGGCTCCCTGGATACTCCCCGTCACTTCCTTGTTTACGGTGCAGCCGGTGATTGTTGGAAAGTCTCGTCGTATGAGGGTAATTTCCGCACCACCGTCCACTAATGCATCCGTGTGGTGGGTTCCGATCTGGACCTTCAGCTTTCCTACGGGCAATGCATGGAAGCTAAGCTTCGTCCCGGGCGGCACCCTCATGACTTCTCCACCCTCTCGGTCCGGTAGGCTTAGGCGGATATATGCAAAGGCCTTCTCCAGGTCCTCCAGATCCCCTGGGATCCTTTGGAGGTTGGAGACCCCTTGCGGTGTCTCAACCTCCTCTGTTTCCTGCTCCTGTGACTCCGAAGCCTCCTCTACCTCTACGCGTCGACGCATTAGTAATTGCCTGAGTCCTTTAAGCAATCTTGGGCTTGCTTGCAACATGGTCTGAAAAGATACAGACACCATGGTACCTAGCGATTTACTCAGGGTATCGTCGATCTCGGGCAGTGTCAAGATCGAAATTTGGTACCTAAATTTATTCCTTGCCGCCACTACCTTGTCTACCGACTCCTCCTCCCTGGCTTTTCCGTAGACTTTTTTCGGCTCCTCAGTCTCAGTTTCTCCTTGATCTGTGCTAGTCCCCGCGACTTCTTCTATTACCATATCCCGAATAAGTTTTTTTTTCACCCCTGCCCTCCGGGTGGTGATGTTCACCCTATCTTGTCCACTACCTTCTAGGATGAAATTCGTATGTGGTCCTCGTCCCCTCGGTTGGTCCAAGACAATGTCAGCTACCGGCTCAACTTCTACGACAGCTATGTCCAGATTGTTCAGGAGGATGACGACACGTCGCATCCCTCCTAGCGAGTTCTAATTTATGCGCTCTCCTTGAGGCTCAAAAAATTTCACCTTTGAGGAACATGTTGCATCTCTGCCTCATGATATCATGGTTGAGTCTTGGGCAGGTCTGTACGAAATGTCCGACCATTATGCAATACTTGCATTGCTCATTGGCCGGATCCCTTCTGCCGTACCCTCGATTTGCGACTGCCGCCGGAACTACAGCTTCTTGAGGCGGGAGGGCGGGTCGGGACACCTGCGCCTGCATTACTAATAGCGCATTTTCCACTCCTTTTATCTTGTTATCAACCCCGTGCACCAGTTCGTGCAGGCTCTCTATCCCCTTCCTGACCTTGTCCCCCGTCTTCCCAGTCAAGTCTATAACCTCGCCTTCCTTGAGCAGGGCTAGTGTCTCGGTCACTACTGTCTTTTCTGCGAGGTCTGTTATCGTGCTGAAATCCACATCCCTTGTGTACTCGAACTTACTAGTCTACTGGTAGGCCGACAAGATTTTATCCTTGTCGAACTCGGAGAACTGCCTGAGGAAGTCCTTACTCATTATACGGTCTGTTACCCCAGGAATTCGTAGTGCCACTAGAGTAAACGCCCTTAGGAAGTCGTTGTAAGTCGCATAGTTCTTCCTTTGGACTGCTGCCAACTCGGCTTCTGTTGCCATTTTTTCTGCATTCAGGTACTTTCTCATCATCTCGTTGCGGGTCTCTTTCCAGGATCCACTAGAGGCGACAATAGCCATAATGTCCCTTCCTAAGCTCAGCGACACGTGCTGTCCTAAGTGATCCATCTTTTCTTCCTCAGTCCATTTCAGCAAGGCTGCTAGGTTCTCATAATCTATCAGGAACTCCGTAATGTTTGCCCCGTCAAAGGTAAGTTTCTTTTTGGCGTCTGCAAGATACCCCTGATTCTTATTCAGAGCCGGGGTGAGGGTGGCTACTATCCTCTTCAGACCCCCTTCGAAGCTCCCCGCTTCACCGACCGTACTGGTCCTTTCTCCTTCCTTGTTATCCCTCTGCTTTTCCTCGGCCTTTGGCGTGCCCTCTGGATCAAACCATCCTAACACCCTTTCTCTAAGACTCCAAAGTCCGTCGCACCCCTTAGTTACTTTCGGCGTGGTGGGTAAACGGCTAGCACCACTGTCCATCGCAAGTGGGGTTGTAGCCTTTTCGACTTCTATGACCGGGGAGTCCCCCTTCTCCTTTCCTTTCTTGCTATGACTCCCCTTCTGGCTACTATCCTTCCCTGCGTGCCTGATTTCGCCCTAGCTGGTCCTGCGTTCCTCTCGTAGCTCCTCACCCGGAAGGTCTCCTTCATTCCCCGCCATCATCTCTTCAATAAGCCTTGCCTTATATTATGCGGTTCTCTTTTCTATTTCTGCCAGCTTACGCCGTGCATCCGAGACTTTCATTTTCTTGGGCATGGTCCCGTGAGAGTTTCGAGGACTCGCCCTGCCGTTGTCCCTGTTTTCCCTGCTTTTGTGAGGTCCTCTTTTGCTTCCCCCGACTTTCCCCGAACTTTCCCCTGTCGAGTGGTCCTTCCCGTCTTCCCTGGTCCCTTCTGGCTTTGCTGACTCTCGGTCCCTTATCGACACTTCGTTCTGTTCCCCGCCTCTATCCGTGCCCTGACTCCCTTTGCTCCGCAGCCCCTCGGCCTCTTCTTCTGACGCCATCCCTTTACCTACCCCGCACATGGAAATTTTTTTTTTTGCGAAATGGCCGGTTGTTCATAGCTTCCCTAGTCCCCGGGCCCCAAGGTCCCCCTCATTCTTGCTTATTCCCATGTTTTCCCGTCTTATATTTTGTCGGGACGACTTACTTGACAATTTCCTACAGGGCGTCGTTCTGTCTTTCTTCTGCCAGAAGGCTCGCTGCCGAGGTTTGGCGTTTCGTCACTGTCGTGCCCCGGTTCCTTAGGGCGGTGTCTGAGGTTAGTGGCTCTCCCCTCGAGGATAGCCCTTTTGACTTCCTAACACCCGGATGCCCCAGCGTCCTTCAGCGGTGGTCTTCCCAATTCTCTCCTGCCACGACCTCAGGTAGGGCAAAATTCCGACCACTACTCCCTTGCTAACGGCTAGCTTCTCATTCCGGTTTTCCGCCTTTTACTTTTTTCCGCCGGTCCCTCAGGTCTGTCTCGCTCATCCAGTTCTTCAAACAGATCGGCCACCCCTGCAAGATAGTTTTCTCCCATTTCTATCTCCATGATAATTATTGGTTCATATTCCTCAAACGCTAAGCGTGGTAACCCGAATATCAGGATTTCGATGAGTTCGAGTAGTTTTCGGGCCTGGTTCCCCCAAAACGGCCCGTGCCTAACTTACACATCGTAAAACATTCCCGTCGTCTGCGGTCGAAAGTAGTGGGTCTAGACTAGAGTCGACTCCACCAGGCTCCTTGCCCTTGAGAAGCTGCCAAATACCAAGTCCACTATGAAGCGAGGCACTTGACACCGCAATCCCGTCATTGGGGCCTTAAACTCTCGCCATCCACCTACCTCCACCCGGATTCTCAGTCCCACGTTCCTTCTTCCTCGCACCTCCTGGCCTATCCGGTCCACTATCCTAGTAGCCCTTTGGAAGATTGGTAACAACCCATGCCCTATCGCCAACTCCGTTCCTAGCATGTGCCATCCGGCCTCCGGCAGGTATACGGTTCCTGTTACCTTCAGGTCGGTATACAGGTCGTCCCCTGGTCCCCTATCGAACCTCATCCCACTCCACAAGCACTCTACCATCATGAACGTCTGGTCCCTTCCCAAGGTCACGGCTCTCCATTCAGTGTCAATTCCTCGGACCATGTAGCTTGCCGGGAGCGATACCTCCCATCCGCCTCCACTTTCCGTGGGTGGTCGAGGATGCGTGGGCCGTTGCGATATCCATGCGCGTGTCATCGCCATTTGTTGATTAGCGGTCCCCTGCACAGTCTAAACAGCAAGCGAGTTTTGCTTATTTCATCCATTCTTCGGCCTCACCCGGGCAACTCCCCGGTCCTTACCTTCGATATCCTTCCCCCTTTTTTATTCCTCCCTCTTTTTCTTGCCTCTCCTACCGGTCTGTCTCTACTTCCATTGGCTCATACAAGCAGTACAGGTCATCTACGTAAGTCATTCCCCGACTTATCTCTCGTCGAACAACGCCCCATAGAACCCCGTCGCTAACGACCGAAGCCCTTGACCTGGTGGTAAATACGGCACGCATGATTCGCAATACTTCATACCTCTGCTCTCCGCTGAACGGCCCCATTTCTAGGAAGGCCCGGTAATACTCTCGGTGAACCATCGCATCCTCAAACGTCAGGTTGGCGAGGTCAGCCACAACCCTCCTGACAAGCTCCACCCCGCCTAATCTTTCTAGCAAAAAGAGCGGCAATATCATCCGAACATTTTCGCTAGGCAGCTCGAAGCTTCCGACCATGGCTACTCTAAGGTTAGCTGTCACGTCATCAAGTTCTGGGTCTGCGAATTCGAACCCCGCCTGCCACACTAGTTGCCACGCTCCCTTGAACATACTTAATGGATCTTCCCCTGATGCCAACAGGACTCCGAACGCCCGTCACCCGTCCTCCGACGCATATAACAAACCCTCCGCACGCACGTGTCCCCGTGGGTCCGGGTTCCATTCCTCGTTTTCATCCGCACAACACTCAATTCTCGTCACTAAGTAAACCGTGTTTTCCATGAGCTCAGCCCTGACCCGGTCCACCACCGGGTGCCAGCCCTTGCTCGCGGCAGGCAGACTAATTTCTATTCCACCAGCCACATCCCTTGGCGGCTCAATGCCCAGCGGGGGGTCCTCAAGGAATGTCCTTCTTCGTGCCATTGCGCGCCTATCCTTGGTCTCCTTATTCCGCAGTTTGCAATGGACCCTACAATGGCCAGACATCCCACTCCCTTATCTCAATAGTATTCCACACTTGCCTGGCCCGTGGCGTTCCCTGCTCCTAGTCGAACCACAGTACCTCGAACAGCTTAAACACATCATCCACATAGCAAGGTGTCGCCGCTACCTCCCGGCGGATTATAGCTTCCCTAATTTCCGGAGCTACCTCTAATTGGTCGTACCTATCCATATTCAGGATGATGAGGACCTCCCAAGCTCTATCGCTATGGAAAGGCCCGTACTTCAGTGATGTTTTATAAAACTCCTCTGACAGCCATGTATAGTCTATGTGTACCCGTTCCATAGTGCTAGCCACTTCCGCAACATGATCAAAACCCCCAAACCAGTCCACTACGAACTGAGGGACCCAGATCCTCTTTCGCAGGCAGGGAGGCCTAAATTCTTTCCATCCTCCCATTACGACCTTACTGTGGACCTCATCCCATCCCTTATTGGCAAACCTCTCACCCGCCTTCCGAGTCCTCGCCTCTGCTCCCTCCAGAAGCCACATCGGATTTTGCCTTGCCGCTAGCGTGGTGCAGATAAGATGCCATCCCTGTTCCGACAAGACGACCGTCCCAACCGATTCCACCTTTCCTTCTGCGATATCTTCCCATCCATCTTCCCCCCTAATGTGGTTCCAGATGCGTTCTATCCACATATACGACAGTTCCGGTGCGATCTCAAGCCCGACCCAGTCATCGCTCCTCTCCACTCACATTCCGCCGGCAGGGGCATTTCTACTCCCCCTCTTATTCGCCTCGGATCCCACTCTTTGAACGTGCAGTCCCACAACTGGAGTTCCCGGGCCATCGTTCCCTACCTGCACATAGCCGACAGCCCATTCCCCGGGTAAATCCCCCCCTTTCAGAAGTCCCAATCTTCCATCTCATCCTCGTCCTCATCATCACTGAAATCCTCCTCCCCATCAAAGAATAACTCTTACAGCCTTTCTAGAAAGGTCTCCCCTACTGCCACACTTCGATAGATTATCTGCCAATGCACTGAACTAGGTACAAAGACATCATCCACGCTGAGGAGGTTCAATACCTCTACTAATTCCTCCGCCTAGTTCCCTCCGAACGGCCCCATTTCTACCGACAGCCTATAGAAGTCATGCCGAGCACACTGGTACAACCTCAGGTGTGTCAACGACTGGCATATTTGTTCCAATCTACCCCTGGTCCCAAAGATTGCATCCACCAGAAACGGAGGTAGCACACACCTCATCGTCCTAAGAGGTCGTCTGACATTTCCCCTGTCCCCGAGCTCCACTCGCAGCTCTACTTATCCATTTTCATTTCCGCCCGTTGACATGCTGCCCATACCACTTCCCGTTTCGCCTATCTAAACAGCTGGTCCGACGCCGTTCCCAGTACTAATCCTATTACCACTGCATTTTCCATCTCCTGGGATAGGTAGACCCACCCGCAGGCTTCCACTATTCCCCGAAATTCTTAAGTCCATCAAACTTGGTGATAGTCTCGTCAGACTGACCTTGGTCCAGAATGTCTTTATCCAAAGGAACGCGTCCTTTTCATCCAGCATCACAGTTTGGCAGGTTGGCTCCAGGTCTGTCCACGTTCCTTCTTTTGGGAGGACGACAGATACCCTCTCCTCTACGTCTATTGGCATTTCCGGACCACTAGAATAGGTAGGAGATGAGAACCACCGCGCCATTCCGTTTTCCGGCTCTGGTCCTGTTTCATAAGAGAGCACCACACGGCCCCCTCTTGGTCAGACTGTCTCCCTGTCTAGTTGAGAATTGTTTCAGACCCCTCAGCCGGCTCTCCTAATTTTCCCTACCCATTTCCCCGGCACCATTGCCCCCATTGTACTCCCAATCAGTCATCACCAGCCGACATTCCCTTCTCTTGGTTCCTTTCCTTCCGACTCCTATCCATGCTTACTCACATCTTCTCTCACTCGTGCGGACTTAGACAGGGGGCGAGAATAGACTTAGAACTCCGTTCCCCTCCCAACATCCTCAAGCAAACTTTATAGAGGGAGACACACAAAAGAAGAAAATCAGGCAAGCTTCACACACAGGCCGGTCATTTCCTCACCGGCCTTTCCCCAAAAGTGGTCTCTCCACTGTTACTTTCGGCAGAGTTTTATCCCGTACCTCAAGCACAGCTCAACCGTCGCGAGCGCGGTACCCAGGCTCCGGCAAGGCGTTAACCCTTTCCTTGTACCGAAAATACCGCATCCCGTATTGCCGCTTTTGCACATCCATACCGACGCCGAGGGTTACCCCGTATGCCTAAATACAGGGACAAAAGTCAGTCGTCCGGGCATTCACTTCCATCGGTCCGAGAAGAATCAGCCTTTCCCAAACCAAGGTACGAGAAGCTACTAATCGCCTCCGAGGCTCCCTCCTTGCCCCATACGCAGTGGTCCCCCTGCTGTTTGCCGACAATCAGCCGCCCCGCCTGAAGGCGTTTCACACTCCGCCTGGGCAAGGTCATCGAGCCATGCTTGGACCGCCCGGGTGAGAATGTTAACAACCAGCCGACGGGACCAACTCCTGCCTGACAGCCCAGTGACCCGACCCCCGCGCACGGAACCCAGCGAACTTCAAAGAGAACGACTTTTTGCAACCCGCATCGGCCGGTGCAAACCAATCCTTTCCTTCCGAAAGGCAGGACGCTCGAATCCCCATCATGCAAGCACAAGTCCCAAGTGAGACACACATAATACAAGTGCCATTCCCTTGGTGCACCCAGCGATTCCTACCCATAACTTACGGTTTTTCTCTTAGGACCGTGTGTGCCACTCACCCCTAATTTCCACACACAGTGTCCGGTTCCTTTTCGTGAGCATCTTCAAAGGTGAGCTAGTTTTCTTTGGAGTCTAGCAACTCCCTTCATTCCCTTATCTTTGCGTGTGTGTCCGTTCATAGGGCATGATTGTTCCTTCTTGATTACCCGTTTTGTTCATATGAGGTTCCTTCAAGCATTTCAAGTGTAGTGCAAGGAGCCCGCTGGGCTCCGATGAAGAGAGAAGAAGGCACCCATGTCGGTCGGATCACTCCGCCGCGGAATTTTCATCGGAGCCCGGACTAGCCCGGAATCCCAACCGCCTGCCAGGTAACCGGAACCCTTCTTTCACACGAAGAGGAAGGGTCGACCTGCGGCTTATCCAAAGCTTCCCTGGCCTGACGAACATCAGTCTGAGGGAAGAAGGACTAGAGTCACCTCGCAAGGGAGATGGTTGATTATGTGTGCAACATGCATGTTATACCTCCAGGTCTAGCCTTGCCATGTGCCCAGCCCCCCTCAAATCTGATTATCTCAAGGGAGTAGGGCTTACATAAGTCATCGTTCCTTGTCTTAATGTTGTGTTCACGATCATTCGTCGGGCCCCCCCCTCGAGATCGTATGGGTCAGTTTAACCCATACCTGGCGCCTCCACCATTTTTGTAGGGGCCGTACCCTGAAGGACTTTCGAGCCTGAGTCGACCCCACTGCGGGTCCCATTTGGCTCGACCCGTCCACGCTCATGCTCAGTGCGCGGGTCGTTCGTCCCAGAGGCACCCCCACCTAGTGCTACGAGATGGATGGGGATGAACCTTTTGCGAGAGAGCTATACATTGGGGGATGTAGCTCCGCTCTCGCGTTAGATGGTAGCTCTTTAATCACTCGTGGCGTTTTCTCGATTCACTTAAGTGTGACCAGACAATTACACCTTCCAATACACAAGCAGTCCACGGAGTTCGTTGAGAATTCGTCTTCTTTCGTGTGTAGGCCAAGCGTCATCCATTGGGCCACACACCTTTTCACTAAGCATGGCAATTTCTACGGCATCATCGGGGTGTGGTCGCGCCGTCCATGCCCCTAACCCCTATATTTTTCGCTTGACAATCATCCTACTCGCATATCCATTGTCGCCCTTAGTCTTTTCAGGCTTCGCATTATACACAAGAGAGTCACGCCACTCATTCATCATGCAACATCGCATCCCATCATCGATTCCTCATCCAAACGTCCAAATCATTAAGCCCCACCCCCCGCATGCATAGTTTATGCTAGGCCCGTGTCCTTCACTTGTCGGTTTTTCCACTCTTGCCCGCGTTTTGCGGGTCCAGTCCCGCTCAGACCATCCTAAGATACTCACCTGCGCAAGACCACACAAGCAAAGACCAAGTACAATCCCCATTGGGGTCAACACATCGCCTCTCCCACAAGCCTAAGTTCCTTTCTCTTTCAATGACCATTTTATTTCTCTTTTCCTTCCTTCGAGCAAGCCATGCTTCTTCCTTAGTCATGCAATCGGGGAAAATGGTTGAGTCAAACTGACCTGGTCTCAAGCCTTTACTCCTTCAATCCTTTCAAGAGATCCCTCTTTTCCAAGTTTTTCGCAAAGATCCCGTTTTCCTTTCCTTCTTGGTGGCACAAGGGACCGACAGCCCTCCCCTTGCCCTCTCTCTCCACCAAGTGAGGACCCAATTCTTTTACCGTTCGTTCCCAGACAATGTAACAAGTCAGGAAAGATTAGTCACGTGTCAAGAAGTGAGAGGAAGAGGGAAAAGGGAGTGAAGGTCGGGGGTCTAGGAGGGAAGAGGGCAAGAGAGAGAGAGAGAGAGAGAGAGAGAGAGAGAGAGAGAGAGAGAGAGAAAGAGAGAGAGTGCCGAGAGGGAGAGGACGAAAGAGAATGGAAGAGGGGGAGAGAGAGAGAAAAAAAAAAAGAAGAGAGAGAGAGAGAGAGAGAGAGAGAGAGAGAGAGAGAGAGAGTAAAGTTCCCTATCCTAATCAACCCTACCCTCTTACTCATCCTACCGGTCGGCCTAGGTCCCTTGTGCCCTTTGGGGCCCTTCCCGTGCCTACGACCCTTGGGTGGCGGAAGGAGAAGGTGGAGGGAGAAGGTGCAAGGTGGTTGGCCATGGTGAATGGGTGTAGGTGAAGGTGGAGGAAGAAGGTGCACAGTGATTGGCTATGGCGGATGGGTGTCGGTGAAGGGGGAGGAAGAAGGTGCAAGGTGGCTGGCTATGGTGGATGGGTGTAAGTGGGGGAGGAGGAGGAAGGTGCAAAGTGGTTGGCTATGGTGGATGGGTGTAGGTGGAGGTGGAGGAGGAAGGTACAAGGTGGTTGGCTATGGCGGATGGGTGTAGGTGAAGGTGGAGGACGAAGGTGCAAGGTACTTGGCTATGGTGGATGGGTGTGGGTGGAGGTGGAGGAGGAAGGTGCAAGGTGGTTGGCTATGGCGGATGGGTGTAGGTGAAGGTGGAGGACGAAGGTGCAAGGTGCTTGGCTATGGTGGATGGGTGTAGGTGGAGGT